AGTCCCAAACGTTTCCCATTATCCAATTTCCTTTTTTTTGGGAAAAGCTCCTCCAGGCTCAGCACAGAGAGCACAATTTTGGCTGCAGTGATGATTTTTTAAACCAGATTTTAACCCAGAGCTCAGAGCTGGGATAAAAACCAGCTTCAAAGTCGGATTTGATGGATCAAATTTTGCATTTCCTTGATTCCAGCAGCTGCTGCCGTGGATTTTAGGTTTTCCAGGAGTGATTTATTCCCTCTTTTCCTCTCCTTCCTGCTCAGCTCCTCGCTGTTGCTTGTCCTGATCTCTGTTACTTCCAGGAATGGGAATTTTTTTATGGAAAAACCTCGGGGATGTTGTCTGGGAATGTTTCCACCTGGAAAAATCCAGGATTGGGGCATCCTTGGGTGGGATTTGCCTCAGGGAAGGAATATTTTTGGGGGGATTTTCCAAGATTTTCGGGTGTTTTCAAGGATGGCAGGGATCACCTGGATCCTCACAGGGCTGGTTTGGAGGTTATTAATTTCATGTTAATTATTGCATCCATTGCTGCTAATTAATAAAATTAACAACAGAAATGAGGAAGGATCATGGCCTGGAGCCTGAAGATTGGGATTTCCAAGGAGAATCCCAATCTTGGGCTTCCAAACTGTGCTGGATCCTTGGATTTTCCGTGTTGGAGGGGCTGGATGAGCAGGGGGCGCTGTCAGAAAAACGCTTTAATTTTTAATTCCCGTTTAATCTTTCATTCCCATTTAATTTTTAATTCCCGTTTCGTCTTTAATTCCCATTTTTGCTCAGCACTGCCAGGGGCTGCTGACTCTTAACTTTCTCTTCCTAATTCCTTGTTTTCTGTGGAGCTGGGAATTCCTTCCTGGCTGGGAAATCCCATCCCGACCCCTCCGGAACGTTCCGGATGCAGCAGCCAAATCCCTTTCCCGGCTTTTCTGCTTTTCCCCCTCCTTTCCCAGCCCTGTTTGGAAGGATTTTTGGTGTGGATTTGCTGTTGGTGCAAGAAACCCTGGGATTTATTTCCCTGCTTTTGGGTTGGGATGAGATTCCTGAGCCAACCTGGGAATTTGTTTTCCTCAAAAATGGGTTTAGACTCGAATTCCGCTCGGTTTTTCCCATCAGCTGGATTTGGCAGAGCTCCCTGAAATCTGCTTTTAGGCTCTGCTGCCTGTGCTGGCTTGGAGGTGTTTTCCATGCAGGTTTGGGATGAAGGGAAATAGGGAAAAATTCCTGCCTGGAATGGTGAGGTGTTCCCAGAGGAATCCCTGGGAATGTCCGAGGATTGAGGTTGGAGCATCCTGGGACAGTGGGAGGTGTCCCTACCCATGGAATGGGATTTAAGGCCCTTTCCCATCCAAACCCTGGCATTCCATGAAAATCCGTATTTCCATGGAATTCCTGACCTGGGAGGATCCAGCAGATTCCCAGTGGATCCCAGTGCTGGACTCTGTGGGAGCCACACTGGGAGAGGAAAGAATCCATTCCTTGGCTCTTCCCAAACCCACAGAATTCCGTGGAATTCGCTCTTTCCTTTGTTCTCTTCACACCTTGTAGCTAAAATTCCCAAAATTTTGGGCCGCCAGCTTTTCCTGGGGTTCCAGCACATCCCAAATTCCCAAGGAATTTGGATCCAGGCTCCCTTTCCCTGCACAGAGTGGGAATTCCGGGAATTCTGCTGCAGGAACTAACTCGGGGCTGAAGCAGCTGCACAGGGAGAGTTTTCCTGGAAAATCTTTGGGATTTCCACGTGGGAGCTGCATGGCTGGGACTGGGATTCATTTCTCCGTGCTGGCAGCAAACATTAAAATCCAATTTTTTGTGTTAAACTCGGCTTAAAAAACCCAGAGCAATCCCATCATTTCACAGCTGAGGATGAAATCCTCCACTCTGGTTTCATCCACGCTGAGGGTGGGCCTCGATTTCCTTGGGTTTTGGCTCGGAAAATTTGGGAATTAGGAATGATTTGCCACCAGGTAAGTTTGGGAATGAAGAATTCCCGAGCCGTGCTGCGCTCCCAGAATCTCAAATCAACCCCAGAGCAGCCTCCCGGTGCTGAAATTTCGGGTTTTAGCTACAAAAATCTCGCCCTCTCCCGGTTTTTTTTTCCCCCCCCTGCATTTCCCAGTTTTTTTCCTGCATTTCCCATTTTTTCCTGCTCCATTTGGGGCTCTCTGGTTTTCTGGGAGCCTCCGGATGGGGCCGGCCACTCATTTTTCCATCTCTGCTCTCTCTAGCAGGTGGTGCAATCTCAGAGTTGCTATGAAGACTCTTCCTTCTCTCCCTGTCTCCTTTCCTCTCTTGGCTCCCCAGCGTGGAAACGCTGGAATTCTCAGTCAGGACTGGCACAGACTGAATTCCATGGATTCAGGGAGTGATTTGGGGCAGGAATGACTCTGGAAGAGGGAGCAGCCTCCGCCCTCCTGCTGCCTCTCCGTGGATCAGGCACAGCTGGCGCGGAGAAGGCTCGGACCGAGCTCCGGTTGGGAATTCCGGGGACAAATCCCTGTCCCCAAGTGACCTGAGCCCCTTCCCCGCCACTCCAGAGCCTCTCCACCTTTATCTCCCAAAATCTCGCATCATTCCCGGATGGAAGAACACCCCAAAGAGTGAATTTGGATTCCTGGCTGGATCCTGCAAAGCCCCCCTTTTCCAGCTGGGAATTCCTGTCTCGCTGAGCCCATTCCTGCCCAGCTTTTCCCTGGGTGACAGGATCAGGGCAGAGCCGCTGATCCCAGCCCAGATTTTCAGGAATTTCCAGTGGGATGTGAGGAGCTGTGGCCCCTCTGGAATCTGCCTTGCTTTGGTGTTTATTTCTCCCACTCTGCCGGTGGCAGAAGGGGCAGCTTTAGATAAAAAAACTCATTTTCCAATGGTTTTTATCCCAGCCTGTGATTCCCAAAGCTCTGCTGCAGTTCCCTCCCGTCCTTTCCAGTGGTTTTGTTCCTTCTCTTCCCTGGGAAATGATTCGGGAATATCCGGGCTCCTCCCTCACCGGGAGATAAATTAAACCCAGTTTTTTTTTCTTCTCGGAACTGAAACAGAACTTTTCCAAAAGGGGTTTCTATTTTTTTCCCACTCGTGGGTTAAAAATGGAAGCTGCCAGCTCATTCCCAACCTTTTATTCCTTCAGGATTCCCTGTAGGAATGGGAATAGCACTTTCCCTGTCCAGCACCCACAGCCTGGCACCTCTTACCCACACCAGCATCCCGAAAAAAGGAAATTTCAGCCCTAAATCCCCGTTTTTTCCCCCCAGACTTCGGCGTTTCGTTGCTCTCGGTGTTTCCCCCCGGGTGGAATTTTTGGGATTATCAGGAGGTATTTAAATTTCCTGGGTGTCCTGCGGGAAAAGGCAGGAGGGTTGGGGACGTTTGGGTTCATTTTGGGACATTTCTGACCACGAGTGTACAATTCCCATTGGGATTTTTGTTCTTTTTTGCTTGTGGGGCGACTCTGCCGTGCCAAACCTGCCCTGGCTGGGCCTGACCCCAATTCCTGCGGCACAGGCCGAGCTCCTGCAGCTTGGCTTAAAGCCCTTCCTTCATTTCCCGTTTTATTCCCATCTTTATTTCCCGCTTTATTCCCATCCTTATTTTATTTCCCACTTCATTCTCCATCCTTATTTTATTTCCCGCTTCATTCCCCATCCTTAATTTTCTGTCCTGGTTATTCCCATCTTTATTTTCTTCCCTGCTTTATTCCCATCTTTATTTTAGTTCTCACTTTGTTCCCATCTTCATTTTCTTTCCTAGTTTGTTCCCATCTTTGTTTTATTTCCCAATTTATTCCCATCCTTGTTTTATTTCCTGGTTTGTTTCCATCCTTCTTTCCTGCTTTATTCCCAACCTTGTATTTCCTGCTTTATTCCCATCCATATTTCCTGGTCTGTTCCCGTCTTTATTTTATTTCCTTGTTATTCCCATCCTTATTTTATTTCCCGGTTTGTTTCCATCCTTATTTTATTTCCCACTTTATTCCATCCTTATTTTCTGTCCTGGTTATTCCCATCTTTATTTTGTTTCTCACTTTGTCCCCATCTTTATTGTATTTCCCGCCTTATTCC